GAATGATGACTATTATACTGTAGATTTCTCACTCTCCTATGGTCATTCCCCCTAAATGTACAGAATTCCTTAATCAAACAAGATTGATATTATGGCTCTGCATAAAACATGCATTGTTCTGAGTGGGGGTTGTTGTATTTGGGGTCACAATAAAACCACCCGCACTCATGTCCTCTTGGGCAGGAAAGTTCAGGTAAAGTTGAAAGAGGTTTAATTTACACACGACATCTATTGCACGTCTGTCTGTCCTGGGAGAGGGAATTCTCCCCCATTAACTTTGGGGTTTTCTTTAAAGTTTTTTTTCCTGTCCAATTTCAGGGTCCAAGGACAGAGGATGTCATATTTGTAATCATTCTGTACAGACTGTAAAGTCCACTGAGACTAATGTAAAATGTGTGATATTCTGCATAAATAAACTTTGATTGATTGATTGAAAGTGACAACCTCAGATGCTGTGGACCAGCAATGTGGGTTTCATTAGACTGTTAATGACCATCCATACGTAATGATGTAAGAGTAGCCTATGATTCCCATCAATGCTCCAACATACACTGATGCTGCTCCTCCACTCGTATCGACCTTATAACAGCAGACAGGTCTTCCTCAGTGGAGGGGGGGCACCTGCTGTCCCGCGTTGCACTGGCTGTGATGAGAGCAGCATACATTAAAAGTGTACAGCTGGAAGGAAAGGCAGACCTGTAACACCTGATCGGACTTATAATATTAGCACGCACGGGAGACGCAACACGTCCATTAGGCTTCTTTCCATCCCGGGAGACCACAACATGATCTCGTCTTGTTTGCCAGGCGGCGGCAGGATAACGTGCAGGACCACTGGCACCTTTTTGTCGGCGTGTCTGGTCTCCGCTTGTCATGCTCTCCGGACCTGCGGGGAGGTCCAGTGCGGCGATGGCCACCAGTGCTGTCCGCCCATCGCCAACGGGAACGGCAGTGCCAACTCCGCGGTGCGCTGTTGCAAGCTCCCTATCCACATATTCTTCGACAACGTAGGTTGGTTCACGCGGAAGCTGTCCGGCATCCTCATCCTGTTGCTGCTATTCGCCATGGGCTACTTCATTCAGAGGATCATCTGCCCGCGGCCCCGCCGGCCTCCGCACAATGACCGCAGCGAGGAGCCCTCCCTCTTTCACGGGCACGCATCAGCGTCCCAGGACTCCCTGCTGGACCGGTACCCCGAGTACAGCCTCGGGGACTTTGCCTCTCCGAACCTGCCAGCATACGACGAGGTCAAATATTTGCCCACGTATGAGGAAAGCATGCAGGAGATGCACAGAGACCGGTCCGACGATAACTTGCTGTCTGAAAACGAGAGTATCGGGCAGGGCAGGGAGAGAGCCGCGGGACCGAGCGCCACGGAGCAGAGGCGGGAAGTCCTCGAGGAGACTGCACCGCAACACAGCCCGAGGACATCCCGGAACTCTGTCTGAGCCCGGGCAAAGCTCTAGAGACAATATAGCACTCTTATTTTAATATTATCAGGGTAGTTATCTTGCAGAGATATAAAATCAAGTGCAATTATAATCCTGAATGTTAAGAATAAAGAAGAAGGCTGAGAAAATGTACGTGTTTTGTAAGATTATGGCGGATTTATCGTCTTTTGTATGCAAATGACCGCCTGGGTTAAGTAAAGGGGATTATGAAGAAAGCGAAGGCGGCTGAAGTTGAAGGTCTCTGTGGCAGGGACAGCTAATTTGGCTCCGGTACAATCGCATTAAGATTTACTTCAACACCTTCATTTTAAGCAGCACTGTGAGACGGTGTTATTCTTATGTCAAATTCTCGGCCTTTCTTTGTCTTAATGTTAAATGTTCTGCTGAACCCGACAGACATGGTTTTCTTTTATATATTCTTTATTGAATGTGCAACCAAAAGGAATAATATTTAGATTTGTATTTCCCACCATACCCTGGAATGTGTGCTGAAGTAGGGAGTGAAGGGACGAATATCAATTTTAATACTTTCTGCAGTTTTCCTTATCAGCAAGCTTTAGAGCCATTTCATTTAAAAATATTTCATCAGCATGAAAGCAATATTTTCCTCAAACTGCCTCACACACATGCACATTCACACAGTTCAGAGGGAAATGATAGATGAGTATTTTATCAGTGACCTGAGCCATGTCGCCTACAGCAAGAGCTAGTCACAGCAGAAAAGTGATGTTTTTTTTTTTTTAAATGCTCTGATGCTGTGAACCATGTGTCCGCTGCTACATATTAGTATCTTCTAGGTTCTAAAATGAGTAAAGCTATGGCAAATATTACAGCCGGCATGTGATATGGTGTAAGCTTCCAAAGTTGTGTTTTAATGTAAGTCAAACAAGGTCACAACTGCTGCCCCAAGCAGAACTAACACCCTACAGCACAGACCAAACGAAGGACAAGACAGATGAGATCTATCAGAGACAGGAGGCAGTCCATTCTTTGTTCTGGTAAAGTGGACTGAGCATACCATATCAATTTGTATGTTAACTTAAATGTGTTACTGTTACTTGCTGGTTTGCATAACTGTCTAATAAGAAAATATATTTTTGGGGTTCTGGAAAATTGAAAACCAAACTGACACCACACACACCTCATTACATCAAGCTAAATGGCCTGTTTACCAAGATTAAAGTTTGAAGGGTCTATTTAACTTTTCATTAAAATGCCTCATTATTGTATATTGAAAAAGCTCCTTTGTCATTGTCACTTTAATTTGACATGTGTGAATGGTCACATTTGTCTTTCGTTCTCTCAAACACAGACTTGAAAAACATTAGTATATTTCATGTCCCAGGCCAAACAAGTAGAAGTCAATTACAATCAGACATTGTAAAACAAATGACGTAAACATTATATTCTCATCCTTAAACAATAATCAAAATAGTTGCAAATTCATTTATTCTAACTTCAGTTACATAAAACAAAATGTTTCGACCGAGGGCAAATATATACAGCAACTTATTTACCTAAGTGCTGTTAGTGTATAAACTGTGAAGCTTTATTAACCTTTACTTTCTTTAATGTTCCTTTAACTGTGAATCACTGCGTTTAAAGCAACCAGTCACCTTCACCTTATGAAATCTGCCATCAGAAAGACAAACTGATATTGTTTGGAGTGTAATAACTGACATTTTATCAAATCACTCTTCTTCACCAATAAACTTCAATTTTGGCCAAGTGTAGCTATTCAAATACAGAGAAAGTTGCTGCTAAAGCATTTTTATCCGTGGTCTTCACAATTAGAGACCTTGAGCTTCTCTAATGCTCCCGACACTAGAAGTCTGAGTGGGATTGTGGTGGCGTGAGTAATCTGACACTGCCAGACCATGATGGCAAAGCCAATAGTGAACACTGATGGATTTCCTTTCCCGAGGGATATTTGTGGGTGGCTGCAGTTTGCACTTAAAAGCATAAATCCATGCCTAAAGCCCACAAATGGGTAGATCAGGTGGAGTATGTGACTTTAAGATGCATAAAGCCATATGCAAGTCCTATACTCAAACCATAAAAGGTGTGAATTTTGAACTTCAGGATGTCCTTGGAGCTATCGCAGTTCATTATGAACTAAACTGTAAAAGTGGGTTGAGGAGCAGAGGGCATATCCAGTCTCCTACAGTTCCCAGCATGAGACTTGAATCAGATATTGTGGGACATCCACTGGCAGAGGAGAGGACAGGGATATATTTGGTTTTCTATTCCTTAAATCAAAACATATACTGCACGCACAAACATACTGAGCGGCACTGACAGAGACACAGGGAAAAATACACAGGGCACAAGCAACATTGAATACTGCGTCAGGGAGTCACTGGACCAAAGAACGGATCAACTATAAAAGGTCAAATCAATGAGCATTAACCTCCTCATAAATATGATCCACTAAGTGTATTTTGTAGTTGAGCTTCATTGTTTGGCCATCAATCTAATTTCTTAGAACTTGCAAGTCATTGTACATGGATATACAGCTCAGTGGCTTAATAAAAGTATAATATCTGTTTATTTGTTTGTTCTGTGTAGTTTCAAAGATATGAAATGCGGTACAAGTCTATTTACTGTTCAGTAAATAGCACTGAGAGTCAAAAGTGTAAAGATTGGAAATCTAATTGGACCATTTTATTCCTAATTTACAGTTGAGGCTTAGCATGTTTATTTATAATTGTATTCTATTTTAATGAATTCATTACCAAAATGCAAAAAAAAACGTAGTCATGCGAGGATGTATAAATACAACACATTGTTCATTTCGATTTTTCAGTGTGTGTGGCCTCTCTCGTGGTAATGCAAGTGAAATATGACTCCCCGCTGATAAGCCCTTTCATAAGTTAATGTTGTTTGGCCCGGAGGAGTAGGTTTATCACACAGTGAGTAAGCTTCCAAAGAAAGTGGATGGAGGGAGTAAAATATGAAGAAGAAAGTGAGTCAGAGAGAAACTTGGGCTATAAGCAGCCAAAAGTACACAGTGCTGATAAAAAAAGAAACGGCAAGAGAGTATAACCCATTGATAGATTTTCCTACATCTACCGTCTCTGATGTTTTACGAGTGGCCACTCACATTTCCAGGCAATAGGACGATCAATTTCTACCACGTCGGCGCGCATCAGGGGGATATGGTTGAGCAGTTTTTTTTTCGGAAAGCCCTTAGACCAGATCTTCTCCCTCATTCGTCCCTCCTGGGCGGCTAGAGGAGATGGATAGGCTATAATGGTCCGCTGATGTGCTGGCCTCCTGCCGACCAGGGGGCTGAGCTTCATGCCATCACTTGGTTTCACACCTCAGCAGAAAAGGAAATACAAGAATAACTCAAAGAGAAGAACATACTGTAGATGTATTGAACTCTAAAACACACATGTAACCAGAAATACCTTGTGGGTGAAGCTGGAAAAAACACTTCAAAGATACTCTATGATCTCTGTATAAAAATCCAGTGAAGCATCAAGACATTAAAAGGGTATGAAAAATAGAGAAAGAAGGTAAAAGAGGGTCATTCGGCGAAAGGTATACATTATTTCCATCAGTTTTATTTACTGAACTCTTTTTAGTGTTTACACGAGGCAAAATGTTGAATATATAAATTGTAAAAATATCTATCCATATAAAAACACACAATAAATCAATCAATCACACATCACTGAACAAACAAAGCAATACATCTTTGCATGACTGAGCACATCACGTAATTCTCGACAACTGTAAAAGATAACATTCAGATTTGAACTTGACACTGAAATCACTCTGAAGCTGATATGACGGAAAGGCCATTATGTTGTAGTCTCTGCGAAGTGAAAATCATCCACCCGGCGGTAACACAATGCCAATGTTTTACATTACACAGCACAAGCCACAAGATTTTAGTGTAAGAGCCAAAGTCAACAACATATTCATCAGAGCAATTCTAATCTTCACATCTCCAAATGATCTTGAAGTTAATGCACTTGTAACTTATCATAGCCATGTTATGCAAGTAGAATTTTAGTAGAAAGGTCCACAGAACATTAACGTCGTGAGGCCACGCTGCTCCTCACAGAGGTGTTAGCAGCCTTCTCTCTCTCATTAGACAACTCCATCTCTATCTTCGCCTGGACTTTCTCCCAGTCCACCTCAACCTGGCAGAAATACAGAAAGACAAGAATAGGAGAAGTAAGACACAGTACTGCATTTTGCTTTCATCAGTATAGGATCAAAACGAAAGGATGCTATTTAATTCCATTACATAATAAGACGGGTTCACACTGGACGCCTGAAAAGTGTGGTGTGTGTTCAAGTCTTTTTCCTCCTGATCATTTAATAATGCTCCACCAAAATAAACAGAGTTCGGCAGCTAACAGCAACAACTTCTAGATTTTTCGTCATTTCTGGCTAACATCCGCAGGTTTTTCCAATATGACAGCAGCGAAAAAGGCTGAAGTGATATTGAATTTTGTATCCCCTCAGAGTTAAAAGAGTGTATAAGTACAACAAGCTGATAACACTTGAACAGCTGTAACAGTGGCTTCCAGTGTGATTAATTAATTAATGCAGTGCAGTGCTGTCCTCACTTACCCCTTCAGAGTACTGCAGGAATCTCTTGTTGGTCTCCTCCCTGCCAAACTTCTGTAGGAACTTTCCTCTATAGGCCAGCACTGTGTCAACATGGGTCTTGTGTTTCACTGCCAGCTCCAGTGCCCTGGACACAAGATGAAAAGAAGATGAAGATACACATTCAACCATCCTGCATGGACAAACTCTCACTTAAACCTTCTATAGAAGAGACAGCCTTAAGAGGCTAAGAAAAAGCATCCTCCTAAAGACTTAAAATGTCCCTCTCCTAACACCTATACCTTCACACACACATTCCGTAAATCCCTGAGCTGTACCTCTCCCAGTTGAAAAGGTCAATGTTGACTCGTATGGCCTGGTAGATGAGACCAGCTTGTAACAGTGTGGCCTCCGCCTCCTGGACCTGACCACTGAACATCAGCATGTGGGCCAAAGATGACTCCTTAGATGGCTGCTCCTTTATAAAGTTGATGTACTGCACCCTAGGTAGCTGAAAGAAGAGAGGTTGGGGGTACTTATGTTTGAGAACCTGGTTAAAAACAAGGTGTGTTCGACTGATATAGCCATTAACTAATTTGCTTACCTCTCCGATGGCAGCATAAGCCATCTCCGCTGTGGTCAACTCCCTGTGGGCCATCGCCATTCCAGCAAGACACGCCCACAATGACTGATCCTAAAGATGGGGGGAGCAAAGGTAGTGAGCATCTTTAAAACGGAAAATCTCACCATCTGAGAGAATGACCTGAAGACACATTGTTCTAAGTGTTTCCCTATGTTCCAATTTACTACATTTATTGTTGGACATATGTGTATACCATTAATTATTTCTTATTGGTAAAGACTCCCTTGTAAACAGAGTGTTAGGAGCACAGCTTAAGGTGAGTGACAAAGTGACAGAAACTGGTTAGCTATTTTTGCCGGACTCTATATATTATATTAACATGTGACTCTTATTAAACCGTGTGCTAAATTTTTTTTGAATGCAAAATCATTTTCTAGCTGGCAATGATTACAAATACTATGCAAAACATGATGGGGATAGCAGATTCAAAATAGTTAAAGGTTTGTGTATTACTGTGTGTATTAATTGTGTATTACTGTGTGTGTGTATCACTGTGTGTGTGTGTGTGTGTGTGTGTGTGTGTGTGTGTGTGTGTGTGTGTGTGTGTGTGTGTGTGTGTGTGTGTGTGTGTGTGTGTGTGTGTGTGTGTGTGTGTGTGTGTGTGTGTGTGTGTGTGTGTGTGTAGTCTATGGTTCTGCTTTATAGCCCCTATTATATCCTTTTGGCAGGCCTCATTGTAGTCATACTCCAAGCCATTAGGAAAACATGCATGACACACAGAAAACCGACATAAACAAAGATGTCTGCCATTTACAACATCAATGAAGGTAAACAAATGTGTCACCACTTTTATTCCGGGCAGCTGCCTTCATTCAAATGAAGCCTTAACCACCAATTGCCCAACAACAGTTGAGTAAACTTCACACTGGAGTCACCACTCTGTAAGTCTCCCTTTAATTACTGTCCATCACTATGACAAACGATTGAATCAGAAAAAAACACCCCTGGAAAAACAAACACATAACACTGTCAACCGCGGCCTGACGTCAGAAACTTCATGCAAAAAGTTGACAACTTTCACCAAATCTTTTGTTGGTGTACATGTGTCGGATTTGTCATCTTGTGTATGTCAAGTCTGTCTGTTTGTATACGGCTCTAAACTATTACGTGTGTCAACTCCTATCAGTTCAGGGCTTACTGGCAATGACTGTGATTCTGGGAAAAGCTGTGCTGCCACCAAACTCTTACCAGAAGTCAAGGAGGGGAGGGGGGTGCCTCTCTCTGTCCCTTTAGTCCCGCCCTTCTCTTGCTACTAGCAGTAAATTTCTCCTGAGGTTGTGGTTATTGCATCATCGCTAAAGCAAAGACCCGGTCCAACACAGCATTCAGCGCGCGTGCATGCGTGCGTGTGCATGTGGCGAGTTTACACATGCATAGTGAAGCTTGTATTTATGAGTGAGGTCTATGGGGGCTAAATCCGGTAAATGGTGTCACCAGGCTAATTGAAGGCTAATTAAAGCCTGCTGGTCTGGGCCCATAAACCTGTCTACTACCTCCTCATTTCGGACTCTGTCTCACTCTCTTTCATACATACATGTGTTTGTGCGTGTGTGTGCTACAAAAACCTGGACTGTGCCAAAGCCCTAGACTGCGGGATATGTCACACTATGTTAAAGTCAATTATATAGGTAAAAATGCTTAACAGAAGTAATGTGTTTATTAAGACTAGGAAGAAAAGCTTGCTGTTATTGCTGTCCGGGTCAGAACCAAACACGCAGAAGCTTCTTTTAGCTTTTCTCTTCCACAGATCTGGAGCAAACTTTCTCAACATCTGAGTTCTGCCGAAACACTGAGTTATTTCAAATCAAGGCCTAAAGGTCATTTAACTATGATTTATTATTACACTCGTGCAGTATCATCTGTATCATTTCTTTTATGAACTGTCTTTTTTGTTTTATTTATGATGTGTTAATGCTTATGTAAAGCATTTTGAATTGTCTTTGTGTCTGAAATGTGGTTTATAAAAAAAACTAACCTTAACCTTATTTTAGATTGGGTATCTACCATCGAAAGAGTATACAGAATGGGTACACAGAAACAAAGGAGATGTAAGAAAACTATTTCTTCACAGGGACAATAAGCACACATCACCAGCATTGACGATGAAGATGATATTTAAAAATAAAACATTAATATCATCTTAATAATACACATGGTAAGATTGTGAAAAAAAATCTAAAGAATGTTTACGCTTTTGTCATAGGTTTAAGTTATGGGTACAGACTACATATACTTGTATTCTAAGTGTAACTTCTTTGCCAGAAAAGGGAGAAAAACATAAATAAACAAAGTTAAAGATGAATTTGAGTGACCGCGTTGACCTGGACAATGACCTGGAAAAACGTTGTGTTGGACATATGTGTATACCATTAATTATTTCTTATTGGTAAAGACTCCCTTGTAAACAGAGTGTTAGGAGCACAGCTTAAGGTGAGTGACAAAGTGACAGAAACTGGTAAGCTCTTTTTGATTTTGAGTATTTTGAGAATTTGAATGACAGCATTATATTGTGCTATGGATATTGCGATAAGATCTTTGTTTTGAATTATTTTTGCCGTGAGAATTGTGTAATGAAAATCTGATATTGCAGACCCCTTACACTGTGTTGGTTTCTTACCTTTGCGAAGCGGCAGAGGCGCAGAGCATCCTCCCACCGGGCAGAGGCGCTGTATTCATGCAGGAGGGCTGGGTAGGGCGGTATATTGCTGTACACCAGTGATCCGTCTCCTTGGCGTAACGTCACCTTGGTGCCAACATAGCTCAGAATATGGGGAGCACGGCTGAACTCACTTTGACAGGGACAAAGACACACACACACACACACACTTCTAAGTTAGAACAAATCCATGTAACCACATCGTCAGAGTTTTGCTGTCAAACGGAAAAAAGCAGCAAGGAAAACTCTCAGTGTTTGCCTGTTTGTAAGAAGTGTTAGTAGGCGTGAGAAAAAAGTATGAATGCTGATGATGGAGAAAACGACTGATTGTTCAATAAAACACACCGGTTAATGTAATATATTATAAACAAGTTAACATTTATCATGAGGAGAATGATGAGTTCTGCCAAGAATAAGTGTGAAAATACAACAATCAACTTTTTGACCAGTTTCCATGTGTGAATGCGTGTGTGTCAAAATTTCTGTTAGAGAGTGCAATTTGTGGCAGCCCACCACATATACAATTGTGCTGTTCTGATTACTTGACATACTGACAGTGCTGCTTTTGTAACTTGCACTGTGCTTAGTCCAAACTCCCTTCAATCTCAGATATCCTAAAAACCTAGACGCATTCCTTGAAGTGGAGACTTTGTATTTATTTATTAGCCCACTTGATATCTGGTGTTCCCCATTTGTTCATAACATGAAAACAATCTTAATGACTGCCATGATAAAGTCGGCCTGTAGAATGCCAAAAGTAAAATGTTGAAAAAATAAACTGAAAAACATCAAATCAAATTGAGGTTGTGTGAACATAAGCAACTACTTTAACCACTGGATTGGCGCAAAACATAAATGAAAACAAAACTGTGCAACCAAAAGTTCAGCGTACTGTAGCAGAGAAGTAGTGCAGGCAGGCTTTAGCACCTCCCGTAATGGTTGAAGCTGCTGGAAAAAAAGTGCCTGAATCAGAATGTGTTGTGGAATAAGGTGGGCGGTGCAAGAAAGCTGCTTCTATCTCTCTTCTTAGTAGCAATTTTGTGAAACATTTGGACTCTCTGGTGAAAAGTGTCGGATGTTTTTTTGGTTAAAATCCAGTACATAAGTGAGAGATAGGGATGTCTACCTGCCATCCTTTATGAGTAGAGTTTTTGGCAGCAGTTCCTTGTCAGTGAAGACAACACTCGGGTAGTACCACACTGTCAACTGGTTGTCCTGGATACCACACAGGATGTTAGCAGCATCGTTCCATGCCATGCTGTGCACCATGCTGCCTACAGGACAGAGCACAAACAACATGTTTATCCAGTGTTAGCAGCACTTGTGGCTAGAAACAAAGAGTCCCTACAAATTTGCCACATTAGTTTCCTCCTCCTCGTCTCACCAAGTTTGCAGATTTTGGTTTCTCGCCCAAGATGACGCACAGAGGTCACGTAAAGGTCACGGTTCTTGTCTATAAGGGCGATCTTCCTTTCATTGGATGGGCCACTCTGGTCCAGAGCTATCTCCACCACCTCCAGCTGCATATCAATAAAGACACACACAAGCACAAAGGTAAGAGGGAGTGAATGATGAAGGGACAACAAAAGACCAGGAGAAGGAAAAAGGGCCCTTCAACAGCCCTTCTGCAACGTGTGTGAGCGTGTGTGTATCAGAATGAGAGGGAAGGAGTGAGAGTGTGTGTGTTTGGTCAGAGCCAGCTGGCTTCGGAGCTGTGTCTTGGAGCTGCGGAACTTCTGGAAGACAAAGTCACGCTGACAAACAGTAACTACTGCTACCTCCACTTCTTTTCCTTTCCTTCTCTTGTAATTCTTTTCTTTTTTTGACTATTTCCCTCTCGGTTTGAATCCAAAACCCTTCCCCCATTCTCTTACTGTGTCTTTGTTGTCTCTCTCCCTTCTGAATATGGGTTAGTATACTTCATAGCACAGACACTCACTCTGAAAATACTGCTTATACTCAGCTATATCTAGTTGGATGAAATGTGGCTTGTTAAATGATCAGGGCTAACAAATAAATGGTCACTACCTTTAGCTAAAGCTTTAAGGTTGAGGGCAAAAAGTCAGCATCATCAACAGTTGGAAAAGAAAGAAAAGAAAGAACAACTTCAATCTCAAAGTACAGGTTGGGTCTGGCAAGTATTAAACCACGAGATGTAGGGGTAAATGCTAATGATGGATACATCAATACACAAATTGTACTACTTATTACAATTTCTCAAACCTAGTGAACATTGGCCTACATTTCTCAAGGGTTCATTTGGCTTTACAACACCACATCTACTACAGAGAGTGACACAAAAAAACATCTGGTGCAAAATTAAATTCTGCTCCAACTGGTTTACTGTGTGTTGCAGTTGCTGTGCAAACGTATCAGCTTCATGTCACAAGTTATTAATACTTATATTCTTTACAAACTACTTGATATTTGGTGTCATGAATCTGATTGCCAAACTTATAACAAATCCTCGCATTCACCCAACTGTGCAACATATAATAATTATGTATTGAATATAACATTTGAAATAATTAGCTAGTCACACAATAATGAGTCATAGCTAACTGGGCTTTGTGTCGTGTGACTAACCAAATGAGTCTCCAGTATGCATGTAGAAATATCTTGACTGGCAACAATCTGCTTCTGTCTTGCCATGCTATCGTTTTCACTCATTGTAACACATAAAACCCAATGCCAACCCATTCAGATATCCACAGTGATTTTGATAACAGTAACATGACCAGCTGATCCTGGGGTTGTGCCCCTATTTTCTTCCAGCATTGTCAATCCCTCATTCTTTATGTTGAATGACGGAACTGGTAAGGTATAAATCCAGGCGACACTTGATCACAGACAGAACATGAACTGACATAATGGGGCACATTCAGTGTAGACAGTGAGTTAAAAAAAAAACATAACATAAAGTGTAATATATGGGCAAAGGATTCCCCACCTTGTGAGTCAGGGGCTTGCCATCGCCAAGGGCTTTCCCGCTCAGAGCGTCAAAGAGAAGAATGACTGGTGAGTCAAAAGGAAAGGAGAACATTGTTAAAGCAAAGTACAGGACTGTGTGGAATCACAACGGTGACAGAGGTCCTTCCCTCACCTTTTTCATCACTCTTGTCTCTGATGCCGATTGTGTCGTAACTCAGTGAAGCACCCTGGGCGTTTAGGACGTCAGCTCTCATACCAGGGAACTTGGGGGATGATATTAATCGACCCTCATAGGAAAATACATACAAGCCTGCTCCATCCACTAGCAGAAGATGTCTGGGTGTAGGAGAGTGGAGGATACAGAAGATGAGAGCAAAGTAAGTGTACTGTATATATCAATATATCACTTTATATGTGGGATAGTGGGATGGCATTAGCAGGGAAGAAGGGTATCCTGTAAGGAGATATGATGGATGTAAAATAATGAAAGAGTCAAGAGTCTATAACAGCTAATAGACTTTCACAAGCAGGTAATGGAGACATGTTATGCACATTAACAAAGCATTGACTGACTTGACTCAGCAAGACTCATGTAACTCAACTGTGAATTCAGAATGGCCAGTAATCTGTTTAGCTCTATGCTGAGTGTCAGGGACATAACACTGGAATATTGCACAAGAGCTACTCCATATTCATCTAATTTCCCCCAGTGGTTTCACTCCCAGCCTTATTGTTTGACATGGCTGGCTAATCGAGAGCACAGACCCGGTGTGTGTGTTTGTGTGTGTGTGAGCTTGATGAGTGAAGTCAATGTGAAGCAATGAAGCATTAGAGAAGCTGTTAGACGATCCAACAGTCTGTTCCCCCTCTTGTTGCTCGGCTCCTGGAATCGAGACACTCACTTCTCTGCTTGCAGGATGAGGCTCACTGTTCCCTCCTTCAGGTCAAAGATGAGCGGAGTGTTCCAGTTTCTTGAGCTGGCAGAAATACACAGAACAAACAGCACACGTCAAAATCTGTAAAAACGTACTTCTAAGATTAAAGTTCTACATCTGGCATACGTGCAGAGGCGGAAAGGCCACGGAAACATGACCAGGTAAAGAAAGTAAAAGATTAGAATTAAAGAAAACTAAACAAAGGAAATGTCATAAAGCATGAAGAGTGCAGTGAAAGGACAAAAACGACAAATAAAGAAATGAATTAGAAAAAAAGGGCAGGGGCTGTCTGTGCTCTTAATCCTACCATATCCATTATGTTTAAAAGTAAAAAGACAACTCAAATGAACCTGCAAAAACATACACAGAGGTCTGATAGCATTACCCATGAAGACACACTTTAGTGATGTGGTTGTTGTTTTGTTCCCCATCAAGATTTCTTAGTTTTCCCGTGTTTTTTTGATTATTTAACCACATTTGAAGTTTAAAATGTGGAAGCTTATCAAGCTGTAGTACATGGCGTGGAGTCTTAGTATATGTTGGTTACATTTGCAGGAAATCAACAAGATTTGGTCAATAGATGAGCATTTTTTTCCCAAATCTCTGGTCTGTGATGGAAAATCTAAAATCAGACATAAGAATTTTCAACAGGAGAGCTTCAAGTGAAAAGGAGAAGTAGTATGCTACTGACTTGTAGACATAGCACTGGAGGGAAGTGGCCACCACCAGGTGACCGTATGCAAGAGAAGTTTTGATGACTCGATCCCGAAACTCAAGCACATCCACCGCATCGTTCATCACATTCCTCACCTGAGGGAAACAGAAGCAAAAGGAAAGAGAGAGGGCAAAACGTTCAGTAAAAAATGAATACATCTGACCTGACAAATTACAGAAGAGGCGTACACTTTTACATTTTTCTCTAAATAAACACTTAAAATCTGAACATGCAACAAACTGGCTTCACTAACTGAATGGAGTGTATTAATTCTTTATTTATACAGGAAACAGTCTAGCATGTCATAGCTTGCGTAGGGCATGTGGTCAGATGAAAGCAGTTTTGACTGTTTGAGGTGTGTGCATGCAGTGGTCGGTACTCTTTTTTTTCACCTGCATAGATAAATACTTGCCTCCGGCCATCTCTGTGAATGAATGAAAAGGCCTTTTCCAGCACCAGGTGAAAGGTGGGGTTATTTTTACAGCTTTACAAATCTTCCTCCTCTGCTCGTTCCAGCTAGCCAAATTTAAATGCAACACAACCAGGAATAAAAAAACATTTGACCGCAAGGTGGTAAATTTAGCTGGCTGATAACCACTGGCAGATGTGCACTTTTAAAAAAAAAGGACTACGAGGAGAAGAGGGGGAGGAGGGAGACAGAAAAGCGCCTGCAACGCTGAAAATAAACAGCTGATGAACAAACTTTGTTTAGTTTACAGACACTGCACTTGGTAAAAAAAGGTCTATGGCAAATTAGTGCACATGTATGTAGGCAACCATACACAGCAAGTGCATGTCCTTGCTTCAGTAGGTGTGCTTGTGTATACCTGTCTGAAAATCATCCAAGTGTTTATATATGCACATTCGGGTGTGTTAACCACATGTACACGCTACCTTGAGGTTAGCATTGGTTTAAACAGTAGAGAACGGTGGAGTGAGACAGGCTGGTCATTGTCATCGAAGCGCTGCACACTGGGAGGGTCCTACTTCAATATACAGCCACAACGAGTCAAAATCAAGGAAGCATTTGGGTTCTCTACATGGCATGTTCACTCACTCTCCCTGGCCTCACAGTGCTTTCAATTCTCTCTTGTTATGTTGAAAGAATTCTGGTAATGTTTGAGAATCCTTTATCTTTTCCCACAGACATGCTGGTTTCCATTTGTTGAAAAACCCTCATTGGCAGCTTTAACATGTTAAACAACAACTCTCTTTTAATTGTTCCAGCATGACTCTTTTGTAAATGCATAAAACTGTGCCACTTGTTAAGCTGAGATTTATTTAAACTTCTATTTCTCTCCTTTCTGTTTATTTTATTAGTATGTATTATATCAGTATTTTACCCTTTCTTCTGTTTCCTAGGATACATCCAAACTTAGCAATAGCAGGAGTCACTAAATTCTGAGACAAGACAATTTACTATTTAGATTGAAGCAGAAATGTGGACTGTGCGTGGCTCATTTTATACCTGCATGGTTCTCCTCTTTGTCAGGGTGATCACAAAATTCTTCCACTCCCAATGCTGCTCCACCACATGGGCAAAGATGACATGCCCGTTGCCGCAGGCCCCGGCCAGCTGGGTGCCGTCTGCAGACCAGGCCAAGCTGAACACACTGCCTGTGTTGGGCTTCTCCAATGCATAGGACCACTGAGGGGAGGGGGAGAGAAAGGAATAGGTGGGAGATAGAGAACAATATAGTTAATGGCTATGGATATTTATTTACAATTGTAATGATTACCTGCGGGGCAGCTTAGTAACTGGAAACAATGAGGATTTTTGGAGAAGAGAAGTGGCGTGTCAGGCGTCAAGTATGAGTGAGTGCATATGCATATAATGTAAACTCTGCAAGAAAGACAGGGGCCCAGTCAGTCAGTCACTGAGCTGTGATGAACTGTGAGACACTGAAGTAGCGCTCGGGCCTGCCAAGTCCAGCACTCGCGCTCGTAAACATATACTCTGCTATCCTCATTTATTACATACACGGGGGGGCAGGGATACAGGGAAGGAACGTGAGGGTTTATATATGAGCCCCCAAACTGAAGCCAAACGCTGATTAACAAGACCTCTCCCTTTTCTCTATAAGAAAATGCTTGAAAGAGATAGAGCTTTGGGGAGGGGACTCAACGTTCCAAAAGGAGTTGCTTTTCTTCATGTAGGCTCTGCTGTGTCAGCAAGACTCTGCTCTGTTGATGACTGTTAGATTGTGAAAGACATATGTAAGGGATATGCACATCTAAAGTGTCTTTTACTCATAGTAGCCCGTAAAACTACTGGCATTAACTCTCAGGCACAGCTAGAATTTATAAATGTAGCAGTCCTGGGCCTTTTTCACACAAGCCATGGGAAAGATGAAATAGATGGTCCAGCAGATGGCGATAATGCAACACTTATGGATGCAAACCGTCAGAAAAATCAGCAGAAGAAGAAGACGCTAGGACAAGTCCCTGCAGACATGTACACAGCAGAACATTGCATTTTTGTGTTTGGCTAAAAAAATAACTGAGACAAATAACCATCTGCTAAATATTAGCGTAAATTCGAAATAGTAAGCATAACACATATTAAAATATGATCTGCAATCAGTTTGATTGTCGGTTGGACGTCCTTTATTCGTTTGTCCCTGCTTTCATTCACAACACAGCTGTACTGGCTTTTGTCTTTTTTCTTGATTTGGGAACTTGACTGTACGAATTTCCCGAAAAAATTATCCCTGCTGCTATTCACACATGACCCCATGCAGGAATGAGGTGCAACAACATTCATGCAGTTTGATCCAACACAAATCAGTTGAGACAGTCTCGATCCACCAGCAGTTTAACGTTTTCCAAAAAGCAGAGGGTGGTACACTTCGTATTTTTTTTATCTCCTCCAAATATCATTTACTGTGTTCCACTGTGCATACCTGGAATCTTTCTGTTATATCTTGAATACTGCTGACTGTCTCACAAAAGAACCATCTCCAACAAACAGACCCATCAACATCTGACAGCCGACCCCGGCCCTCTGACCTCACTCTTGCTTAAAACCCAAGTGGCTGACTGATCTGAGTCAGCTGTGATCTTGCACACAAATACATGCATTCACACTGCAAACTGCTTACGAAGGGAGAAAAGTGCTAATGTTAGCCTAGCGCTGCCTGCGATTGAGGGGCAAGCGTGGTGCAGCAGGCCAAGTGCCGTGGTGGAGTTTGGAGAAAAGGCCCTCAGTGTGTTCGCTGCCTCATACACATGCAGCTGCAATATGTGAGCTGTGGTGTGAGGTAACAGTCGGCAGGCTGCAGGTTACATGCCGCTGCTTGGATCCCTCTCCCTCTTCCTGATCTGTCTGTTTGTCTTCCTTATGCCCACGCCATTCAGACGGTTTTGGTCAGCACCCTCCCAGCAGTTAAAGTCATATCAGGAACTTAAATAGTTGGAGGGTAAAATTAGGCCAGGACAGCTATGTGGACAAGAAACAGATAAAAGTCAAATTAATTTCTATTTACCTTTGTTTGCCTCAAAAGGATTCAGCTCCACACTTCTATCCGCTAACAGGAACAAGCGTGCCTTAATCTTTTTAATATTTATATGTCGATTACTTTTCGCTTTTCTTAACCTGAGAGATCTCGTCTTTTTTTCAGCTAAAGTCTTGAGATGGCTCGCTCCGTGTTAAGGCACCCCGAGGGGACAGGAGAGGGGGATGAAGGAGAGAGGGATAGATAGATGGAGAGATGCAGCTGAATGTATACACCAGACTGTAATGAAGCAGGACATATGATATCAGCCCAAGGAGCACTGCTGGATTCATGCTTACCTAATGCTTTTAACACATTGAGCCATTTGACTCATTCTAGAGCCAGCCAGCAAGTGAGAATGGGTGTGTGTGTATGTGGGAAGGGGGGGGGGAGTGTCTTTTCATTTGTGCACACATAAACTCTGTGTATGTGTGTCTAAGAGATGAGATGAAGATAGTGTAATTGCACATCAGAGGAATTAATGTGTGTGCAAGACGACAGGGAAAATGAACGTTTTTACCCCCTCTGGTGAGTGTCCAATGTCTGTTTTGAAGGAGTGCATGTGTGTCAAAGAATTGAATTAGTTCAATTGAATTGATCCCATGGCCTGTCAAGAGTTGTCAGTCGATGTCTGAGTTTAGGACACAGTGGGATTACTGAATTTCCTTTTCAAGAACAGCTTGCAGATACAAAATCTCTGCGTCCCTCCCCTCCATGAGCTACTTGAGGTTAGAGGTTCTGAAAGCTGGCTGCCTAACACGAAAGGAGAAAAAGTGTATCAAGAAGTTCTTCAAAGAGAAAAGAAAGAAAACAAAAAGAAACATCGAAAATGCAAACGTAGGACTGGCACAATGTAGTTACTTTACGTACCCTCGGTGGGTTGAACTTTTTTAAACATTTAACTCTATAATTTTTTTTTTTAAAGATTGCATTGAGACCAAATAACTAACTTTTGTTGTAACATAAATATAAATACTGATCATTCACAACACCTGTATTGTATCATTTCTAAAATGCTTATTTTTTACACTAACCCAAACTAGTGTTGGAGAAGGTTTGATGCTGGGGAAGAATGGGTGGTTGGGTTGATAATGCACTATTACTAAGACAGGAGAAATGTAGGCGAAAGCAAAAGGAGAGAGCGACAGGCAGGGGGGGGCGGCGGGGGGCATTCAATCAGTGGAGGTAGATTAAGCAACCGGTTTTGAAGCAGATAAAAGGGGTGGAGCTCTACTGTATACGGAGAAAGCTACTGGACAAGGCGGTAAGGTTATTTCAAATGTGTGCAGAGAGATATAGGTAATAGACAGCCAAACAAAAGAGTAAGCAGACATGCAGAAACAGTCTATAAGGGCCAAAATGAAAAGTAAGGGTGGGGTCTGTAGCAGTTGGGTCTGGGCCTTCTTCTAGCTGGAGCCCACTCTCTGGTCACTGAACCCTGTCTGTTCATAATGGGCAGCATTGTGGCCGGAGAGAAGGTGGCAGACATGACGTGTAGTTCTCAGCTGAGCTCTGTGGGAGAGAGGGGGAGACCCCTCAAGCGTACAACGAGCTTATACACGCAGACTATGTACACATAGCAGCAATGTATGGCTGTGCATGGAAGTTCTAGGTGGATTAAACACACACAAACCCACACATGTACTTGTGTCAAAGAACAAGGCTGGTCGTGTAACATTTGAGATGATCACTTTGAGCACCAAGCAGAACGCCCACACATGCATCCTGTGTGTGTTGACATGTGTGTGTTAATGTGACTCAGACACACAGACGTAAGTTGCATGTAGGTGACAAACTCTGGAGGGCTGAACTGGTCAAAATGAGCTGGTGGGATGCTGCCAGAATATTTGATAACGCTGCTCTACCATCCTTCACCATATTTGGCTGGTGTTGCTATCTGGCTCTCTTTTGTTTCAGTGGGACCCCCAAGTGATGATCCACAGACCCTGACTCTAAGCATGCATCCCACCATGAGCCCACACAGACATGGGGACAGTTCTGCAGGCAGCGGCACATTTGCACACACACATATGCATGCACGCACGAAAGAAAGAAACACAGCCAATCTCCGAACACACTGCCTCTTTAGAGCCTCTTTAAGGAGTGTGCTTGCCCTCTCCCCCTCCTCCCTACCTCCTGCTCAATCTCTCTGAATTTCTCGACATATGTTTACCATTAAGACTGGCAGGTGTTGTGTGCCTGCCCCTTCTCTCTATTGTTGCCCTGCAGCCGCAGCCAACATGGGGAGGCCTGCAAAAAGGTTACGTAAAAAATATAGTAAAACTTTAGCTCAAAAGCAAAGACAATGCGACTCCCTCAAAATAAATACAGCGTGTGTATATATATATCCCACACGTGTTTCTAAAAGGTACCCTCTGCCTCTATGGCATACAACTAACTCTGCCCTTTTGCATTTTCAATTGATTTGTGGCCCTTTTGACTCTTCCTTTTAAAATCACAAGACAATTAAAGTGATATTAGACTGGAGTATTTGTATGAAATACTTATTCCCTGTAGGCTTGAAAGGCGGCTGCTGAAAGTCAAAAGTGTGGGTTTTCCACAGAACAGCAGCTGTGTTCAACTTGAATTAAGTCACTTAACAGGCATTCCAATAATGACAACATGGCAGAAAGAAAGTATAACAATGTAAAGGTATCAAGTTTGCTTTCATGGTGAGCCTTTTTTTTGGTTGTCACAAGGATAGTAGTTAGCCAACTACATAGACGCTGTGTGTTTGGTCCTATTTAGCCAAAATATGAGCGTTGGAACATATTGCACATGTGGCTGGATAGTTCAGATTTGGATTTGCTGCTGGATTAGTTTGAGAAGTGTGTATGGACCTTTTGATACGTTTTCTAATGTTTTAATTATTCAAATCTATCATAACTGACATGATAGGGAACACAGTCGATTGACTTCTTGTTTAACCTTCACCTTTAAAGCAGACAGGGTGTAAACATTTGATATAAAGGATTTTATTGGAACAAGAATTGAACGCTATCAAACCCCCTTATTTAGCCGGAATACTGACTAACATAATACACAGAACAAGCAAATGCTAACGTGAAAACAAAGCACTGAAGCACACAGAGTGAATACTCCAGAAACAAAGTCAAAGGAGAAAAATAAAGTTTGTATCAGTGCCATTACCCCTTCCCCCTCTCTCTATCTGCACTACCTGAAACACTGCTCTGGTCTTCATGGCCCGGGCTGAGGGGAGTGGGGGTGGGCGGGGGTGCAGTTTGGGCCAGGGAAAGGGTTAATGACACATGTCTGAACTAATGGCTCCCAGTGGAGCTATCTGCTGATTCAGCCCCATTACTTCACAAGCATTAAATATGTCTGCCCTGACCGCTCTCTGCTCCCCCCCAGCCCTAATGCAAGTCAACAACATGCTAATCAGAGGGGGTGCATGAGATTTCCAGACTTCCTATGCTTTTCTAGCCCTACGTCTGACACTCCTGTCACACTGAAGCAAGCATCTTTGAAAAACTTGCACCAGTCATTAGTGTTAATGGGTCAACCCGAGTCTGTGACCCTGCTAAAAACCTGCATTTTATGCAGCTGCAACACAAGTACTGTACTGGCCCTATATTTAGTACACATATAGTACTGTATAGAGTACATGTCGTAGAAATGATCCTGCACTTAATATGGACTGTGGGCTGTAGGTCTATCTGATTCCCCACCTCTTCATTGCAACAATTGTCTTAACATGATTGTCAACGGTATGTGAAATGAGTCATGACATTACATTACAAACAAATTGATAATCTACACTGTAATGCCTGTCATTAAAATCTCAGATGCAAAACTATAATTGTGTCCGAAAATGTTAATGACATCGAAACATGACAGTTACCCACAGCGTTATCAATGGTCACAAGTGAACTGGTAAAATGACCTGGTGGGATGCTGCCAGAATATTTAATAACGCTGCTCTACCATCCTTCACCGTATTTGGCTGGTGTTACCATCTGGCTCTCTTTTGTTTCAGTGGGACCCCTAAGTGATGATCCACAGACCTTTGCTTGTGTCAGTCACTTTTAATGACATCCAAACATGACAGTTACCCACAGAGTTATGAATTGTCACGAGTGAGTAAAACATGTTGGACATTCTAGATCGCATGAATACTCCAAGTAAAGTTTCTCGACAAAGCAAATTATAAAAACGTCTAAATGATGCTTGAATGCTGAATGACCCTTTGTACAAAGAAGGAAATTGCATAAATCTGGTAAAAAAAAGGTAAAAACGTTGTACATTACGTTGCAATCAGGGTGCAAAAACTAGCTAGTGAGTGATCGAATTTTACCAACCACTCAATAGATTTTTGGCTTTTTTTTTTGGGCATGACATGACTTATTACATTAATAGATAACAGATATTACCACGAAAAGACACAATTTTGGTCAAGCCTATAGCACTGAGTTCACTTTGTACATTGGTGGCAGGAGGACTACCTTAGCTGGTCTATCACTGA